ACATGACGTAATTTTTAGCGTAGGGTTATATTTTTCAATTCAATTCAATTCCATTCAATTCTATGTGCTACAAATGCCATCAATGGAAATTATCCGAATCAACAATAATTATGTACAACGGTTATAATATACAATAAATTAATAAAAAAGAAGAAAATTATACAATTATTAAATAAAAGGATTTTTAGATTAATGAACCAATTAAATTGTTGTTAAAATTAAATTAAATTATGGTTTGCTTAATATTAGAAGCTGTGGTGGAGTATGGGTTAATGTTTATTGTATAACTTACAAGAATAAGGAATGGTAGAGCTTAGTAGAAATAATAATAATAATTATTATTATTATTATTATTATTATTATTATTATTACTATTATTATTATTATTATTATTATTATTATTATTATTATTATTATTATTATTATTATTATTATTATTATTATGATAATTACTCTTTCATTTCTTTATGCGCAAATCAAACTAATCCTCATAACATTGTTAAAATTACTCCATCGGGGCTAGGAAAGGATATGTGTATATTAAAAGTCATGAGAAAGAAATATTAGCTTGTTTGTGGGAAATACAGTTACCGGTATGCTATTATTGCGAAAGAAAGCAACTCTTGTTCGAATTTTGAATAGGCGCTAACGCTATAAAAAGTAATTACATCGGAAATAAACCCGATAACATGTCAAAGCGATAGCATGTTATTTGTAGTCTTTTTAAAACGTCAACGGAAACACAAATACATGTATATACAACAAAAACTGACCACAGAACTAAAATAAAATAATAATAACTATTAATATTATTATTATTATTATTATTATTATTATTATTATTAATAGTATTGTTATATGTATATATACAAACGGGAAAATGTTGTAATAATCAAACTTAATTAGCAATCAATAAATAGTTTCTTTATATAGTTGTATGAATAAAAGTGCCTGAAAGGATTCATAATGGCGCTCTGGAAGCTGGAGAAGCTTATACGTCACAGCCGGGAAATCATAACTAATTTTTAAATCAAGTGTGCTGCGAAGCAACGTAACTAAAACCAAATATGCGAAATATGTAATCAAGTATTGAAATGCTCATTTCAATTATCTATCAAATAACAGGCCTAAGCTATTACTGTAACAACTTCTAGTATGAATATATATATATATATATACATATATATATATATATACATATATATATATATATATGCCTATATATATGCCTATGTGTATATATATATATAAATAATGCTATATATAGGCATGCATATATATAAGCATATATATAGGCATATATATAGGCATAACATTAGTATTGAAAATTGTTGTTGGTAATTTCTTTTATTTTAAATATAAAATATGTAGTCATATAAAAAAATGTTTTCTCTATATGCTGCGTTAGCATATTGTCGATAAGTCATTTGCTTCTCGTTTTGGTATATCGTGCATGTTCATGCTTTTCGAAAGGCTGCAGGTATGAATATTGTAACCGTGAGAGTCGTGGTAATACTTGCTTTTTTTTCCTTTATTATACAGAAGTAAACCTTAATCAATTCAATTTGTTATACCTAAAAAAAATTGAAAAATACCTGCGCTTTTTATATATGGATTCATTTCCGATTACAGATGTACAGTAAATAGTAATTCTGCTTGTCATTTTTATAGCTTTTGGCTTATTCACCATAAGATCAAACCTTTTCTATGATCCATGGTAGAAGAAGCCCATTGTTGAAATATTGATAGCGGTAACCACAGCTAAATTTAGGCCGTTTTACAGTACTGTACGTCTATTAGGTTTTAACGTTAATAACAATCGTAAAACTACTGAATTTTACTTGATAATAAACAGCTAGTGAACAATGAACAGTGCTTATAAATAAAATTGCCGATTGTTCTGCAAAGTTCATAATTCAATTAATTCAAGTCATACGGGACTATATGGCACCAATTTCTATCTCCGTATTATGTTCTGATCATTGTTTGTTCTTTTTACTGTGATTTGTTAATAGTATTCTTTACATAAGGGGAAATTAAAAGTCGGTATCAAAAGACAGTACTTATAACATTACATGTCGCTAGTGACCCTAGATGCGTACTGTATACATGCGAAAAAACCTTTTGATTTTGTTTGACAACTGTTAAACCAATGACACGTTCACACATAATTCTTGCGAAGCAATTTTGGGTCACGACCACTTGTGTAGGCC